CCGAAAGTTGATACCTTGGAGCGTGGGCCCACCGAATCCCCACACGAACCCGTGCTTCCACTCCACTTCCACTTGATCTTCTATAAATGTTTACGCCACCACGCGGGGTACGTACATAATGTAATGAACTCTAATACTCCTATAATCCTCACACCCACTCTTGAGGAGAGACGAGAGAAATAATTAGAGGGAGGCTTGATGAGTGATGAGAGAGGCCATCAATCAATGGTGAGCAGTGTGGTGTGAACCCTAATATAATTGCGCCCATACGTGCGTCCAAAACCTCCCCTGTTTCCCCCATTTATCCATCTCCTCCTCCCCCCGCGTCTCCCTCGCAACCTCCATTGACGCTCCTTCCTCTTCCTCCTCATCTCTAACCGACCACCTTGATCGATCCACTCGCCTCTTCTTCCTCTCTTGAGCCGCTGCTGCGTGGCTGGCTAGGCAGAGGTGGCGTGCTAGATGGTCGCCGAGGCGGTCGGGTTCATGATGTCCCGCGCGGCGGACGGCGGGGCCATGGCGCCGGAGCTCGTCACCCGGGGCTTCCTCGGCGGCTGCCAGGCGCCCGCCGCCGACGACGACCCACGCTCTGTTTTCTCTCTTCGCGTGTTGGCTTTCGCTTCTTCCTCTTCCCTGCTCAATTGGGATTGGACCGGACCGTACGCACTCTAGTGGTTAATTAAGACTTCCAATTTGTCAGTCAATGGCTCGATTAGTCTCCTAGTGGAGTAATATCCATCCGCGCCGAACTAGTTTGGTCAGCAAATTTGACAGCGGAGCAGTAGTAAGTGGTTACCATTTGTGGGCTTTGTCATACAAGAGTGTGAGGTGAACTTTGAGCTTGAGGCTACGCGATTCCCATGTGCAGGAGCCTTTTCCGACTTGGTCTTTCTTTACCGTGGGAGGGATATGCATGAATTGTTGACCAAAATAGACTACTCCTACTACGTATTGTAAGCATTTTTATATCTCGAGTATCTGTCGTACAGTGAGTACTAGTAGTAGCAATTGTTCTCTATAGGTGGAGTAGATTGTTCGTACGTAGTTAATTCATCTTCGTCTGTCTGCCATGTTCCACCGGCAAGTTCAGATCTTGCCCAATAATGTAGCCTCACTTAAAGTCTTCACGACATGGCCATTAAAATCTCAACCATGCAAGCATTAATCTTTTACTGACTGCGGTGATTTCTTTGCGTGCCTGCCAAGGTTTCTAATTTCGAAAACAAAATAATTTTGGAGCCTATCGAAATATGCGAAATTTCGGAAATTTCGCTATTTCGAATTTTTCCTATTTCAAATTTAGCTTAATTTTATTAAATTCTAAAAAACTTAAATTCATTTGAAAAACTGTTTGAATCTGCATCGAAATTTTGGTGTTGATAATATTTCAGCCCCCCACTAAAATATGCTAAATTTCGGAAATTTCACCGAAATTTCGTTGAAATTTTTAACCCTGCGTGCAGCCCGGCAACGGCAAGCCGCCCGTGCAGAATCACCTGAGCCCACACCCGTTGGCCGGGGGGGGACCTCAATCTCTTCCCCTCCTCCGACACCGCCTTGGCACCGTTGCCGACGATGGCGCCGGCTGCGGACTGCGCCACCACGACCACGTACCACAGCGTGTGCACGATCGAGAAGGTCAGGATCGCGCTGGAACAGTTCGAGCGCGGCAAGCTGGGGCACCACCAGCAGCAACACGGCGGTGCAGGCGCGGGCGCCTCCCCGTCGTCATCCGTCAAGCGCTGCAGCGATGCCAGCGTCGTGGAGCAGGGCGACGGTTGCGACTCCCTGTCCGCCAGCGCCGGCGGCGGGGGCATGGCACGGAAAAGTGAATGGAACAAAAAAACTAAACAAATCAGTGCACTGACAATAATCGACCCAATAGTTACTAAGGTGTAATTTTTCTTTTTTTGCCACCATGATATCTCTAAGAAAATGGTTTATTCAATGGCAAAGTGACTGTCTCCCGAAAATAGAAAAAAAACGGATTTGCTATTTTATAGTCGAGTGTTTTTCAATTCGTTTTCACTCAAATCTTTGTCCATCCGTTCTCGCGCGGAGATTCGCGCTAGCACATCTGTTTTTCGGATTGGTTTTCTTTGTCGGGCGCGGTTTTGTTTTTGTCCCAGCCCGTTACTGCCGCGCCGGCCCGGCACCGCCAGGTTTTCTTTGTCGGGCGCGGTGTAGTTTCCCCTTTTCATCTGGGAGCAGAGAGCGAGAAGGAGGAACAGGCGCTCGTGGACGCGATTTTGTCTGTTCATGTCGATTCCGAGTTTCCCCACCGCTCGAGCTTGATTTCCCCTCCCTTTCTCTTCGATCCACGGTTGCCGCGGTTGGTTATTCTCGTCTTTCTCCCTCCCCCATCTGATTTTTGCTTGTTTATACCTGTGTAGCTTCCAGATCTGGGTGAGTCTTTTGTTAGGATTCATCGTAGGTGTATGTTGCTGCCGTTTTGTTTGTGTTTTTTTTGCTCTTTGTAGTTTTAGCGGTTGGTTCTGATTCGTGGCATGAGTAGTCCGGCATTTCTCCCCCTGTACTCGCCTGTGATGTATGGTTTCTTCTGTTAGTACTAGTCAATTGGTGTAGGCGCTGGTGGGTGGCTCGATTTTGTAGGTTGGTTTAGATCTAGGTCATGAGATGGGTGTTTTTGTGGTTAGGGTTGGTGATTTGCGCTAGTAGGTGGTCTCTGTATTGGTCTTTTTGCTCTTGTTGTTCCTGAACCCTCTTGAGTTTTTGTTGTAGATGTATGGCTTTTGGTAGGTTAGATGTAGGTGTTAGTTCCCTTGTTTAGGGTCTTCTCAGTGCATCGTATTTAGTGAGTTAGCTCTGCTTTCCATGGTTAGTATGTTGTTCTGCTGCATTTCCATGGTTTTATTTCACTTTAATCCCCATGTGTTCTAGCCGTGTAGGTGTTCCCCTGTGTATTAGCATTGTAGTTTTCATTATTTTGTCAGTGTTAGATCATCTCACTGAATTTTTGTGTGCTAGCTCTGTAGTGCTGATGTATTAGAGTGTAAGCACATGAATTACAGTGTAATTTAGCCCATAATTATAGTGTATTATACCCTCAGAATTACAGGGTAATTTAGCCCACAATTTCAGTGTAATGTCCATGTTTCTTTTTGTAATTGCAGTGTAGTTTACCCTAGAATTGCAGTGTAATTTAGCCTAGAATCTTTTTGGTATAATCCCGGTGCTTCACTTTTGTATTTACAGTGTAACTTTTACCAGAATTACAGTGTAACCCTCATGCTTCATTATGTAAGGGCAGTGTAATCTTCCCCTAGAATTACAGTGCAATTTTTCCTAGAATTTCAGTGTAATTTCCATGTTTAGCCTCTGTATTTCTTGATATTTGAGCTTCATTCTTGTTCAGATTTGCTTGAATAATTACAGTGGATTTTATCTCTGACTAGTGTGATTATTCTATGTAGTTCCTAGGTTATTTTCATTGGAATTCCCTAGTGTGATTATTCATTCCTTCACCGCCCCGTGTGTACTAGCACTGTAACAAGCTCTGGTTTGAATTGTTTTTATGCATGCCTTCTTCTGATAGGACTTGTGTTCTTTTATGCTGATAGGTTCGTCTCTGTATTCATGACTTCATCTGAGTTTGCTTGTATTTTCTGTACTTATTCTTTTCAGCTTTTGCTTGAATTATAGTGGATTAACTCTTTGAATTACAATGTAATACCTCTTAATTTATTTGTAATATTCCCAAGACTTGCAGTGTAATATATCACTGAATTACATTGTAATATACTCCAGATTTATGCTATAATATCTCTCAAAATTACATTGTAATTTAGCTCTGAATTGTACACTGTAAATTTCTGCGCTTTTTACACTGTAATTCCTGTAATTTTTCTTTGTTTGCCTCAGAGTTTCACTGTGTTATGACTGATTTTTACACTGTAATTCGTCTAATTCTCACACTATAATTCGTTTGATTCTCACACTGTAAGTCTACCCCAGAGTTACAATTTATTCCCTTCGGTTTTGCCCTGTAATTTTCAGCTTTCATTTTGCACTGTATTATGATTGGGATGCAAGTTGAACGAGGGTCCTGGGAATCGCCAGTTGTTTCCTGATTTTGTTCTTTTTCTTTGTCAGGTGCTTTGTGGTCCAGGAAAGGGAAAAGGAGCGTGGGCGACAGGTTCAAGAGGGTTTTGTGATAGTTGCATGGTTTTGTTTTGGTTAAGTTAGAACTGGGTCAGATTTTTAGCTGCCCGATCTATTTTTTTAGAAATGCAAACATAAAATTGTTGATGGTATTGGGATATACAGGTGTCAACATTTATTTATGATCTGCCCATTACCATCTCCCCCGTGTGTGTCGTTTCCTTTTCCTTTTCTTCCTTTTGACACTTTCCTCATTTCATTTGGGTGGTACGTACTATTTCCAAAGGGCAGAGGGGCAGAGGAGGTGCTCGAGCGGCGGAGGAGTCGAGGCGATTCCATCGGGTTCCTGGCGTTTCCGAGATCCCTCTCTACTGGAGCTTGTTTCCTCTTCGATTCCCTGCCTTCCTGGTTAGTTCTTCTTGTCTCTCTATCTTCTCGCGTGCGATTTGCCATGGTTGTGGTCGTGTAACTTCCAGATCTAGGTCTGGGGATTGTTTGTAGTAGTGTGTTTGTGGGTTTGTGTTCGAGATTTTGTTGCTGTTTGAGTATTTAGCGGTTGGTTCTGCTTCGTGGCTCGTGTAGTTTCATGTGGATCCCATGTGCTCACGTCAGTTGTTAATATTTGTGGATCCCGTGTGCTCGCGCTGCTAGGTTTTGGGTGTTCTCGTTTTGATCCTCTCGTTGTAACCGCGGTTTGGTTACTCGTTTATAATTTTTTTCGATTGATGTGTTGGTCCTCTGGTAGGGTTAGAGTTTGTGTTTTTTCCCGAGATAGGCGTGTCTCTGTGTTGAGTCTTCTTGCACATCCCCTGCAGTTGCAGCTACCATCTGGTAGGGTCAGGTTTTAGGTAGCAGTGCTAATTTGGGGTTGTAATTGTTTAGACCTAGGCGTGCACTATAATTGTCTAGCTTTGCTTTGTAATTCATGCCTTTTGACTGTAGTAGCTTTACTCTGTAATTTTCCTCAGTTTTGCACTGTACTCTGCAATAACCATGGCAATTATAGTGTAGTCATTCTGTACTTTTCATTGTAATTTCACCGAAAGTAGTCTGTAAGTAAGTACACTGTAATTTCCCTCAATGTACTCTGTAATATTCATGGTAATTACACTGTAATTTCCCTCAATGTACTCTGTAATCCATGGTAATTACGCTGTAATTTCCCTCAATGTGCACTGTAATATCCATGGCAATTACACTCTAATTTCCCTCTATGTACACTGTAATTTCCATATAGTATTTACACTGTAATTTCCCTGAATGCACACTGTAATATGCATGGTATTTACACTATGATTTCCCTATAGTATTTACACTTTTTTTGACAGAAATATAGTATTTACACTGTAATTTCCCTCAATGTACAATGTAATATGCATGGTATTTTCACTATAATATGCCAGTGTAATTTCCCTAAAGTAAACTGTAAAATTGCTCTGTAATTCATGTGCTTTTTGCACTGTAATCTCCCATTTTCACTGTAATTCCTGTGCTTTCTTGATTGTATGCCTTGATTACTCTGTAATTTATGTCAGGTTTGCACTGTAATT